CAGAGCATCACGGCTTGATCTCGTGAAGAGATTGACATCATCTTCTCATGAGTCGCAGCGCGTCGATCGAATGTAGCTCTCGCCTTCGTACACGTGTAGCACGAAAATCGAAGAGCACAAATAGACAACTTGACTTCTCCCCCCGGCTTGATGGAAGGCGACGGTGGACGGGACAACGCATCAGCGACGACGTTCTGGGAGCCCGGACGATGGTGGAGCTTGAAGTCAACGGAAGCGAACAAGTCCAGCCAACGCGCGAGTCTCCCAGAAACGCGAGGGTGCTGCAGGAACCATTTGCAAGCGGAATTATCAGTGATGACGTCGAAGTGAGTCCCATGCAAGTAATGCCTCCACCGCGTCAATGCCTGCTCGATCGCAAACAGCTCCTTCTCGTGGACTGGCCAGTTGAGCTCATGGACTCCGAGCTTCTTGGTGAAGAAGGCCACTGGGAGATCATGCCCGTCGTGTATCTGGGATAATACGCCACCAATACAATCATGACTGACATCCGTTGTAACAAGAAACGGCTTCTTGAAGTCCGGCAACCGAAGGACAGGAGCGTTCTGGAGGGCGAGCTTAATCGTATAAAAAGCTCGACGTTGAGTTTCCAGCCACGTCCACTCGGCAGTCTTCCGGACAAGACCACTCAACGGCAACACGAGCTTAGCAAAGTTGTCGATGAAGCGTCGGTAATAACCAGCTAGACCCAGAAAGCGCTGTAGGTCCTTGACGGTAGAAGGCTCGGGCCACTCGGCAATCGCCCGTGTCTTCCGTGCGTCGACTTGTAGTCCCACATCTGAAATGGTGTGACCAAGAAAGTTGACCGAGGTCTGCCCGAACTCACACTTGTCCGGCCGTGCATACCGCTTGTGCTCACGCAATACCTTGCACACGCATCGTAGATGATCGGTGTGATCATCCATCGAACGCGAGAAGATGCAGATGTCGTCCAAGTACACGACGACAAACGGTAAGTGACTCAGGATCTTCCACATGAGACGGGTCCATGTGCCGGGCATACCAGCCAAGCCCATCGGAGCAACGTTCCAGTGATAGATCTCGTGATTCGTACGGAAGGCTGTGAATTGCTTCGACGTCGGAGCCATTCGCATCTGGCGATACCCACTAACTAAATCCAGAAGTATGAAGACTACAGCACCTTCCATCCGATCAAATAACTCTTCAATGTGTGGCAACGAAATCTTAGCCACATCAGACGCAGCGTTGACCAGGCGGTAGTCGATAACCCATCGTATCGGCATGTGCGGATCGTTGGAGTGCAGCCATTCCAGAGGGGAGAGAAACTTTCCAGTAGCGGGGTCTTTCTTAGGCACCCCGAATATGTTCGACACCCAAGGCAAATCTGACACCTCAATCCAGTTTTTCTTGAGCAAGTCAGCTACAAAGATGTCCAATGCCTCTTGCTCCACCTTCGATAGACGGAAGGGAGCACGGTTACTGGGTTTCGCACCAGGTTTTAACACAACCTCGTGCTCGATCGAGCGCGATGGTGGTAATCCAGCCGGCAGCTCGGTCGGAAATACGTCTGAAAATTCGGTCAGCACAGGCTGCAACGACGGTGGCACAATCTTCCTCTTAGCGGATGTCTTGACGTTGACGTGATACACCTCAACATACGTGTCGTCTTTCACCTTAGACTCAAACTCGGAAGTGGATACTGGATGTAGATCAGGCCCTGAGCCGCGGTGTCCGACGGTGTCACCAACAGTAGCACCGACACTAGAAGGCACGGGGTATGGCAATCGGCATAAACTCATTCCAGGCCGCTTGTTTGTCCATGGTCATTGACAAGTGGTTGCGCTGGAGAGATCGCCTCAGATTTCACCGTAGTGTTGACATAACGAAAATCGGCCATAGTGCGCTTCTTGTCGAAGCTCATCACACCGGTTTGCCAATTGATCACAGGGTTAAACTGAATCAGCCACGGAATGCCAAGAATCACGTCCTGGTTCGAGGAGACATCACACTCAATCAGCGAGACGTTCTCGAATTCTTGACCTGAGAACGTGAGTGTTTCCAAACATCGTTTGCCACAACTAACTGCCGTTGTTGTACCGTCGAACCGTTCAGCTGAAATCTTCGTCGTGTCCACGAGGTGCTCTGCAAGACCCGGGCGCACAATGTTCTGCTCAGCCCCACTGTCGATCAGGACTCGGATTGGTTTCCCGTTTAACAGTCCTTGGAAACGTAGCAGTTCTGTTTGGCACGACAGCGCATCGTTCACGGACGCCATGTTCATTTGCAGACTGTCCACCACCTCGACTGCATCTTCATCCTCGTCCACAATACGGCGGTACGTGCCTTGGTTAGCCCTGAACGAGTTGCGGTTATGGTGTGAGTAAGACGCTTCCCGTTCATTGTTGCGAGCTTGTCGTTTGCGGCAATCCACCAGTCGATGCCCCGGCTCCTTGCAGTAGAAGCACAAGTTACGCCTCATGCATTCGTCGCGCGAGACGATGCGCGCACTTCCAAT